AAATGGCAAAAGTCAGGGAAGCCCTTGATGGCCCTTGATGGAGGCCGGTATGCAGGAATGTGACCACTAATTGCGAAGGAGCCAGGAGTGGGAAGGAAAGCTAGGGAGGATAACCAAAGAGGAGCAAAGAGAATTAGAATATTGGAGGAGGATATATGATGAGAACCAGGCGCGGCAAGCTCTGGCCTCAGGGCCCGACCCACATAGTTCCAACACTCTCGCTAATCCACAGGGCTCAGACAGGGACGCCCCTGATCTGGTTCAACGGTGGCACAGAGTAATTCAAAATGCAGTATTCGAAGGGGACTTTATGCCTAATGCTACTGCCTTCCCTGTTCAGGTGATAGGGGGACATTTGGAGTGATGGTGTCTGTCTTTCTAAGTAACCGTTATGCGTGATGGAGCCCTGCTTTCCTGGGGATGGCTGAACACCTGCCTGCCCATGGGAAGTGGTGAATTAATTCCTTGCTTTGTTTTGCTTGTGCACACAGCTTTTGCTTTACCTATTAAACTGTCTTTATCTCAACCCACGAGCTTTCTCACTTTTGCTCTTCTGATTCTCTCCCCTACCCCATTGTGGGGTGAGTGAGCGAGTGGCTGCATGGTGCTTAATTGCCAGCCAGGGTTAAACCACGACAGTCCCTTTTGGCATGAAAGGTGTATCTGAAAACACGGAGTTGACAGAATTGGAGTCAGATTTTGTTCGAGTAGTTTTTAAGATACTCTCAGCAATGATATGGGGCTCAAAGGGTTCGAGATAATGACAGGTTTGATTGGAATGTGCTAGATCAAATTTATAGCTGTTATTGCTGTTTACCTATTGATCGGCAGGCTCCTATGCTTGCCATGGGGCTTGCTTGCCTTACTGTATATTAGAGTTCAGTGCTCCTTAGTTGCTCCTTTTTGCTTTTGCTGCTTGCTGTACTGCTGTACTGCTTATCATTTCACTGTGCTGTGCCTGGGAACATTTTGATAACTGTGGATAAGTCCAAGCCAGAGCAGGGGCAAGAGGAGGAGTTCATAGCAATGCTAAACCCCAAGGTCTGGTCCAAAGAGACCAGGGGTGGAGATTGTAATGAATATACCTTTAAATTGTTGTAACCCATTATTTGAGTTGCATGTTATAGGAATGACTATAGCAAGAGCCACCTGAATCAACGGAGGACAAGCCTTACAAGAAGCAGTGCAAGTGCAGCAGTGACCTGACCTGAGCTGGCTTTGGTGCCATTACTCCATGCAACACACCACTTCTCCCGTCCTGAGTGACCAGCATAAGAGATGGAGCCCAAAGTCTTGGACTAAATTAACTCAATGGACATTTTGTGGACATTTCTGGACATTTTACAAGGGCGGTCCATAGACTAAGGGAATGATATCTGTGTAATATGTTAAAGGATGGGAAAGGGGTGGTCGTTAATGAAGATATATTGGATGTGCGGGACCTGAGCATGATGTAAATGGTATGGAATAAGGGGTGGATACTGTCCTGGTTTCAGCTGGGACAGAGTTAATTTTCTTCCTAGTAGCTGGTATAGTGCTGTGTTTTGGATTTAGTACTACAAGAATGTTGATAACACACTGATGTTTTGGTTGCTACTGGGCAGTGCTTAGACTGGCCAAGGACTTCTCAGCTCTCAGCTCTGCCAGGTGCACAAGAAATGAACCATCTCCGTCTTACAGGCAATAGGACACTACCCCCTGCTTTAATACATGCCAAAGGCTTACAAGAAACAGTAGACTGGTCCGACACGCCACAAGTGATGTGGCGAGATCCTATGAGTGGTACCTGGAATGGCCCCACAAAGCTACTAACATGGGGAAAGGGTTATGCTTGTGTGATTACAGATTCCGGACCACGATGGGTACCAGTGAAATGTATCCGGCCCTGGCTGCGACATCCCAAGGACAACCTCAGATGCCCGTATAACTGCAGCTGTGTTCCTTGGGTATGGGTCATCTGTCCGGACTGAGGAGATATTCGCTGGACTGCTGTGACGGGACGCTTTTTGCACCGAAGGAGCAACAGAGGGATACTGCTCAACCTCACCATGGGATTCAAGAGCTTAGCAATGTTAATACGGATATGGGTCATGGTATGGAAAATGGAGCAGACAGAGGGAGTTACGAGCATTAAGAACCGTGGAAACATGTGGTTAACATGGGCAAATCCGACAGGGCAAACATCCTTTTGCTTATCTTTAGCCACTCCAGGAGACCCTTTTAGGACGTGCTTAATAGGGATGCCGTATTTGAACATGAACAATACTAAACACATCCATAGTGAACTCCGCTTGCTGCCAGCATTATAACTGCAGCAAGTTGCGGCTACAACGCAACTGTCATAATGATACAGGGGTGTTAGCAGCTTTGATCACCAACAACTTGAATGTCTCATTGCCATGGGACCCACAGGAGTTAGATTTGATGACATCCCTAAATGATAGTAATGGGTGCTTTATGTTGGGAGGAAAATTGTATAGTCACCATACAAGGGAAGGGGAAATTGGTCTCGATGGACAAAAGTAACTAGTTCGACTCCAGGGTATACATACACATCCTCAACCAGCAGCTACTGCCTCGGATCCATCGGATCTGAAGCTCTCAATAGGTATTCCCCGTGTGGAACAAAGATTCCGTGAAAGCCCTACCCCCAGGATATTTTTTGATATGCGGAGATCCAGCATGGGCAAGTATTCCAAAAAATGCAATAGGAGGCCCATGTTATTTTGGTAAGCTATCATTGTTTGCTCCTACTCATGCTAGCTTGCTAAACATATCCATCTGGAATATCATGAGAAGACCTAGAACTAAATGATTTCTACAACAATTAGGATCAGACTGCAAGGATCAGGTAATTTTCTGGGACACGCCAACCAGAGTAATCACGTCTTTTCTGGCCCCCGGAGTGATGGCCACCCAAAATGCCCAAACTGTTCAGAAATTGGCCTGCTGGACAGCAAAACAGTTGAATATCACTTCTGAAATTCTGACCCAACTTATGGCTGGCGTAGATAGGGGAAGACACGAAGCTCCAGCTCTACAGGACAGAGCCACCATGGACTTTTTGCTGTTAGCGCAGGGTCATGGATGTGAAGAGAATATGAGAAAGCTGCAGGTTGACAAGAATCCGTGGGACACGTTTTGGGATAATTTGGGATGGGGAGTACTGAAAAGGCTGCGTGATTTATTAATGTATGGTTTAGTATTAATTTTAGCTGTTTTGTTTCTATTGGCTTTAATTCCTATAATATTGCACTGTGTAACTGATATGATAAAGCTATACATGGAGTTTGGATAGCATAAAACAAAGAAGGGGGAATTGTGGATACATTCCTAGCAGAACGAGGACATCAATTCCTGATAAGGTCAGAATGCTATTAAAGGGGAAATGCTTAGCCAGTATACGGAACTTAGTTGCTAGAGTAGAGAAGCAGTAACCGCAAGCAGGATAAGATGACGACAATGAAATAACCAATGAGTGAGTTGGAAGCTTATATGTTTGTTGGATAGACAGTAGTATGTACGAGTTCGAAAAGTATACGTGATCATGTGTACGGGGTTTGGAGGAATATAAAAACTGTATGCAAAGGTATAATAAATGGCTTCTGGAGACTGGTCGGCATCAGGAGTCTGGTCTTCCACATCCAAGCATGCAGAAACATGAACAACAAAACATGGAGAAAACACTAAGATCAATTATTGTGCAGACTTTGAACCTTGTGGAAGATTCTGTGACAGATGCTGCGACAGGCTGTGACAGAGTGCTCTGGCCACCAACTCCTGCCTCACCTAAGAAAGCACTTTGTTATCTTCCCTGGTCTCTCAAAGAACCAAAGAAACATGAAAGTCAGGAGTTTCAAGAGATGTCAGTTCCCACCCACTCTGAAGACAGAACATACTAAAAAACCTCCAACACCTTGCTGGGATGTGACTTTCCCAGTAAACTCCCCTCTAAGGCTTCACACCATGACACCATGATCTTATTGCCCACCCTGAAGTTTTCTAGAACGTCTGCAGAGGACAGTGCTGCCCTAGAGTTTAGGACAGGCATTACTCTGATATTTCATGTCTGTGCATCTCTCCTATAGCTCACTCCTATTACACTCTCCTTTTTTGAAGCTTTGACTAGGTTGTACGTATCAAGTGTTACATGTATATCTATAATTGAGTACATAAATATACACATATATCTAATCAAATTGAGTGCAAAACTACTCAAAATACTATTAGGTGTGATGTGGAATTTTGCCTAATTCCACATTTTTGGAATTACTAATCTAACTGATGAGATGTGAGATTTTTTCTTGCATGCCTTCAGCAATAAACATATAACTTAACAGAGCAAGTATTTATATTCAGAATTGGAATTACAGTGCATTGGGTGTTTTCTGTCAAATTCTGTATTTTATAAAAGTCCAACATCCACCCAAGTAACACTGTGGTGAGCTGACCTTGGCTGGCTTTCTTACTCTCCATATTCAGCATGAGAAGGGAAGAAAATAAGATGAAAAAGCTCATGGGTTGAGATAATCGCAAGATGATAACCCACCAAACCATCACAGGCAAACCAGACTTCACTTTGGGGAGATTTATTTAATTTACTGTCAATTAAAAATGGAGTAGGATGGTGAGAAACAAAACCAAACCTCTTTCTGCCCAGCTACCAAAACCTTGCTTTGTAAACCCAATCCAATAATTAATGTCATTTTAATGCCCCAAACTGTTACCCATCACACAAACCATTATATTTTATCCCAAGTCGAACATTTTTAGTCATGTCATAGCATGTTTGATTTCCTATAAATAAATTAAAATATACAGCTTAGATTCCATTGGTTTTCTTCTATCTTATCATAGAATCTCAGCATGGTTTGTGTCATAATAGACCTTTAAAGATCATGTAGTTCAAACCCCTTGCCACAGGCAGGGACATCTTTCAATAGATATGTTGCTCAAAGCCCTATCAAACCTGACTTTGAACACTGCCAGGAATGCAGCACCCACAACTTCTCTGGAGAACCTATGCCGGTATGTCACCATCCTCATTGTAAAAAATATCTTCCTATCTAAATCTACCCCCTTCCATTTAAAGTGTCTGTCCCTTGTTCTGTCACTACAGGCCTTGGTAAAAAACCTCTCTATGTCTTTCCTATATGCCCCTTTATATATTGAAAGGCCGCAATAAGGTCTTCCCAGAGCTTCTCTTCTCCAGGATGAACAACCCTATATCTGTCAGCCTTTCTTCGCAGGAGAGCTGTCACAGCTCTCTGGTCATTGTCATGGCCCTCCTCTGGACACACTCAAGCAGGTCCATGTCTGGCTTTGCTGGAGACCCCAGAGCTGGACACAGTACTCCAGTTGTGGTCTCATGAGCAGAGTAATGGGGGAGAACCACCTCACTCAGCCTGCTGGCAATACTTCTTTTTATGCAGCCCAAGATCATCTTCCCCATCATTCTTTTCACAAACTGATTATTTAATTTGTTATTTAATTGAATTTTGACTTGTTGTCCATCATTACTGAGACAGAGTAGACAGGTTTTGTGGCTGCTTATCACTGTGCTTTGGGGGAAGTTATAAAACTAAAAGCAAACTCTCTTTGATTAATGGTAGAACGTCTGGATGTTTCTGCATATGTATGGGTATGTCAATGTTTTGCTTATATATGTAAGTAAATAAAATGACAGTGATATATATTGAAACTTCTGTTCATAAAGATTCCTAAATTTACTTCATAAATTTATATATGGAATAGTAACAATATATATTTGTCTATTACAAAGAAAACAAGCCAAATAATGTAGTAAAATAACTGGCGTAGGAGACTGATAAAAATTATCAGTGATCACATCAGCTATTGTAATTTATAGAAAGGATCTCAAAGAGAAGGAAGTTATCCTCTCACAAGAAACATTCATGAGATCTGAAAAATATTGAGTAGACAGGTTGCACAATCATTATCACATAACAGCTTATGCCCATCATTACTTGTATCATAATATAACTTTTGGTGCTGAAACATCTTTTGTTTCATTTCAATAACAGGTATGAGAGGTAAAGTGCAGTGTGTTTTGAATCCCATATATTACTGAATTAGTAGTATTGATACCCTAAGGGTCAAAAAGACCCCAAATGTAAAACGGCTTACATGCATAAGATTTAGGCTTTATTGTCTAGCTTGCTGTTACTTTCCTAAAATTAGTATTGTCTAGTTTGCTGTTGCTTTGTTAAAGTCAGTAGTGTCTAGCTTGGATTTTTTGTTCTTCTTAAAGTCTGTAGTATAGTTACCTAGTGAATTTAGAACCCTATTCAAGGACGGGGAGAATCGGGAGGGGATGAAGCAAAAGGATAATAAC